GACAAGGTGTACTGGAAGGTTTTGATCAGACAGTTGCCATGATCTTACTCCTTTGGGTTGCCATTGCACAGGTGACTGTCAGGACAAGAGTGGAAGCAGCGACGCCAGTGCAGAACCTATTGTAATAACTCAGGTAAAAGACAATCTGATTGTAGCAGTGGAGGTGGTAAGGAGCAGTTAGATTCAGCATACACTTTAAAGGAAAGCCAACAGGATTTGTGAATGGATTGGTTGTGGAATCAGAAGGAAAGTAAAAATTCAAGGATGTCAGGTGGCGGCTCCCAATGAATCTAGCCTCTGCTACAAATGTCCTTAGGCTGTCCCTCCCTCTTGAATCTGGGCTGAACCAGGTGATTTAATGTAAGCAATAAATGTGGCAAAAGTGATGCTGGGCCATTATGCTGGGTCATCTGTAGAAGAACTACAGGTTTAGGTCTTCGACCTAAACCTGTAGAAGGCCTGGTAGTTTCTGCTTTTCTGCTCCTGGGAAGCTTGAGCTCCCTTGTCTTTTGGGGACATGGTGTGGAAAGATGCTGTAGAGAGGCTCTGAGCCTGCATGGAGTAAGAAGGACACTCAGCTATCCAGCATCCCAGCTCGGCCTATCCCGTAGCTCACCTTCCAGCTAAATGCAGCACACTAGTGACTACCAGCAAGAGCAGCAGAAAAACCACTAAGTTATGTCAAGCTCAATTTGCAGAATTGTGGGTAAATAAAACAGTTGTTGTTTAAGCCACTAAGGCTTGGGGTGATTTGTTGTTCAGCCATAGAACATGAAACAGATGACCCCTAGAGTTTTGGCCTGAGTGCCCAGAAGGATGGAGCTACCATTTACCAGATGGGAAAGACTGCTAGTTAACAGGTGTGGGGGAAGAACCTGGGTGGAAATAATAAAATCTTACTACCTGTACATGGAAAAGAACACGTTTTTCTTCATATATTAGAAGATGTCCTCTACCTCGTAAGCATTACTGGATTTTCCAAGGCCAGGAAAGATCATTTTAGGAGTAACTCTTTGGATCTCCATCACAATAGCGACAGTAGAGGTTAAAGGAATTGTTTTGAATTTTTTTCTTTCAGGCTTCTGACACTCTGTGGACAATCAAAGAAATCCCCATGGCAATTCCAGGCAAAGAAACTCCCACCCACAAAGTTTTTCTGGCATTGCCACTGTGGTTTCAGGGCTTCAGCAACTGCACCATGTAAAGGAGAAACCACTGAACTCACTTTCCCTCCCAGCTTTCCACAACTGGTCATCATGAACCACCTTGGGCTTGGCTGATGGTCGTCTGGAAGCTGAGTGTGCTGCCTTGGAGGGAAGCCCTTGCCAGTTTTAGATTTAATCCTTCCTGTGGCCAAACACTTTAGAGACAGAAGCATAGGGGGAAAACAAAGATTGCCTGGTCAATTTGGTCAGCCTGTGAGTTTCTGATCATAGACATCTGGCCAATACCTTGCGGACTTGAATGCAAATTAAGTGCTGGGGAAGGGTGGTGTGTTCCTTAAGAATTCTGAAGGCCCCAGAACAAATATTAATGTGATATTATTAACTTTATGTTTCCAAACTCCCATTCACTCCCACTATAGCCCACTACATTTACCTACTCATACCTCTTTCCCCTGGTTAATCAGCTTCTGGGAAAGGTTTAGGATAAAGGAAGACAAAGTAATCATATACATTAATCATAAACACAGGGTTTCATTGCTGCTGGGCTCAGCCTTGTCTTGGGCCAGTGTTCCTGCGACATGGAGTGGCTTCCACCTCTGCTCCCTCTGAAGGTCCTCCACCAGCCACTGCAACCTCAAGGTGAACAGGAAGTCTGGGCTTTGCAGCCAGAAGGGACTCCAGTGTTGAGCGTTTATAGGATTTATGTCAGAACAAACCTGATGTGCCTTACTTAAACATTCAGTTTTAAGAAAAATTTTGGAAGACATTTAAAAAAATTTACCATGAAATTATGTTATGAGGCCGGGCGCGGTGGCTCAAGCCTGTAATCCCAGCACTTTGGGAGGCCGAGGCGGGCAGATCACGAGGTCAGGAGATCGAGACCATCCTGGCTAACACGGTGAAACCCCGTCTCTACTAAAAATACAAAAAATTAGCCGGGCGTGGTGGTGCGCGCCTGTAGTCCCAGCTACTTGGAGGCTGAGGCAGGAGAATGGCGTGAACCCGGGAGGCGGAGCTTGCAGTGAGCCGAGATCGTGCCACTGCACTCCAGCCTGGGCGACAGAGCGAGACTCCGTCTCAAAGTCTAAAAAAAAAAAAAAAAATTACCACTCTCAAATGTGGCAGAAAACTGGGAATTGTGCAAAAAAGGCTTTTGAGTAGCGTCGAGAGATGTCCTCATATCCATAAACCAAAATTCATTCACTTTGCTCACAGACAAGCCCCTCAGACTAGCATCTAGGACTTATTTATACACACTTTGTAAAAATTTCTAACAGATATTGATATCCAAATTCAATTTCACATTAATTTTCTATCTTTCCAACTACTATTTTAGGTTCAGGGTGTAGGTGTGCAGGTTTGTTACATGGGTAGAGTGTTGTGGGGGTTTGGTTTACAGATAATTTTATCACCCAGTTAATCAGCATAGGACCTGATAGGTGGTTTTTCAATTCTTACCCTCTTCTCACCCTCCACCCTCAAGTAGGCCTTGGTGTCGATTGTTCCCTTCTTTGAGTCCACGTGAACTCAGTGTTTAGTTTAGCTCCCACTTATAAGTGAGAATATGCAGTATTAGATTCTCTGCTTAGGATAATGGCCTCCAGCTCCATTCATGTTGCCACAGAGGACATGATTTCATTCTTTTTTTTTTTTTGGAGATGGAGTTTCACTCAGTCACCTAGGCTGGAGTGCAATGGCATGATCTTGGCTCACTGCAACCTCTGCCTCCCAGGTTCAAGTGATTCTCTTGCCTCAACCTCCCAATTAGCTGGGATTATAGGCACCCACCACCACACTCAGCTTAATTTTTGTATTTTTTAGTAGAGATGGGGTTTCACCATGTTGGCCAGGCTGGTCTCAAACTCCTGACCTCAGGTGATCCGCCCGCCTTGGCCTCCCAAAGTGCTGGGATTACAGGCATGGGCCAACGTACCCAGCCGATTTCGTTCTTTTTTATGGTTGTGTAGTACTCCATGGTGTATATGTACCGCATTTTCTTTATCTAGTTCACTGCTGATGGACATCTAGGTTGATTCCATATCTTTGCTATTGTGAATAGTGCTGCAATGAACATACGCATGTATTGTCTTTACAGCAGAATGACTTACATTTCTTTAGGTATATACCTAGTAACGGGATTGTTGGGTTGAATGGTAGTTCCATTTTAAGTTCTTTGAGAAATCTCCAGGCTGCTTTCCACAGTGGCTGACATAATTTACATCACCACCAGCAGAGTATAAGTGTTTTCCTTTCTCCACATCAAGTTCACATTCAGAAGCGGTAATTAGAAGGTAAGAAAGGGCCTGCCATAGGCAGACATACTGAAGGCAGAGAAAGCAGTGGCAGAGCTGACAAGACAGCCCAATCAGCACAGGCACTCCAGGTGCCTTAAGCAAAACCACATGCTCTTGCCTCCTCACCAAGCCCTGGAGATGCCCCTGTTTCCAAACCCAGAGCTAGGTCAGTGACCACCTTGAGGAATCCAGACTAGGCTTAATTGTACTCAAGAGAACCAGATATCCAGCACTCAGACCTTACAAAGAAATCAAATATAGGCCCATAGTTAAAAGTATCCATGTTAAAAGTGGGCAACTTAATACACAGCTTCAGGTTCTTGGTGACATAAGCCAGACTAGAGAATGAGGTTATTTCCCTATCTGTTTCTACCTTTTCTACTCTAGTGTGAAATGAAGTTTGACTTTACATCTCTCAGTATTCTCTGGTTCCAGTAGCTGATCTTTAATATCTGATCTGATAAGGAAGGAACTTATATTACCTGTTACATTTTTGCCTCCATGATTCTGAATATCACTATGTTCCCCCTCTTGGCTTCACAATATTCCTTTAAAAAAGTTTAGAAAATTGGAGAGTAAAGTCTTGACAAACTGTTCTTGGAGAGGCTGTACTCTTTTATACTGGCCAGTTTTTAAACTCTTAATAAAAGGGGTCCTTAACAAGCTCAGACTTTTAAATATAAATGGAGAAAAGGCAAAAGGAGATGAAAGAAGTGGCATTCCTGGTGAAATTGGTCAGACGATTTTCAGACTCCAAAGTGTCCTGATAGTTTTATGTGATCCAATCCAGTTCCTGAAAAATCTCTGCCAACAGGTAACAGGTCTTTGAAAGCTTTTGAAGCCAAAGGCTCCCCACCAGCCAGCCCATCTCTCACTAAGTTCTCAGCCTGATTAAGAATGAGAAACAGATACCATGGCACCAACCTGTCTATGAGAGCACAGCAAGACAAATGTAATTGCCTGTACCAGGAATACAAATCGGCAACTCTCAAATTATTCATATTTACACCCACTCCATTTTGGTTGTCTTTCCTTTATAATTTGGCCATACATTGATGTCAAGTGTATAATTTTATCTGGGCTTTATCAGTTACCGCCCAGAGCCATGATTACATGGTGCAGGGAACTTCCTCCCCTTGAGCGAGTCTATCTTTAGTATCTTCTTGATAACTACTTCTTACATTAAAAAGAAAAAATCAAAAGGAAAGTCTTGGTTTTCTTACGTGGCTCCAGAATCCCTGAATACAACATTTAGAAGTAATTTATCAACTGAAACTATCGAGCTTTTAGCTGCCACTACAATTTTTCAAAGCAAAGTGTTCTTATTCCTTCTCCTTGTTATTTTTATCAAATTGCAACAGAAATTTTGGGACTTCCATTATTGACCATTCAGTCATGTACTAAGTTCAACTTTCATCTTGCCAGTGTCTTCTTTAACTGCGTAAGACTGGCCTTGGAACAATTAGAATAACAGCAAGATGAATAATGGTATGATTTCCGGGAGAACATTTTATAAACAAAATAAATAACAACTGTCCAATCAAGGATTCAAAAGATAATTTATTAGTCTGAGAAGAGGAGTCACATACTATACCCAGTAATACACTTCTTTTATTTTTGTGCCTTTATCTTAAAAATATATTTAAACAAAAACAAAGATAATATTGAATTTTCCCATAAACTTTGCTTTCTTATTTACAGTGTTATATTGTAAATAACATTCCATTATACACAAATTAAGGACTGTGCATTACTGTATGTTCTCTTTACATATTCTTTCATAATATAGTCCATACAGCTCGAAGCTATGCAATATTTAAGCTTAGAAAAGCTTGATGAAAGAAGTACAAACTGTATCAATCAGACTATTATTTTAAAAGGTTCTGACATTAATTCTCTGCTAGATTGTTTCACTGAAACCATTCTTTGTTAAAGAAAAATGCCCCGTATAAGGGATGAGAACAACAGTTTAAGTTACCACCGGATCCACTTAAACTGGTTAACAAATAAAAACATTTTATTACTTATCACTGTTATTAAATGAAGCACTACCACTGTCAAGTCATTTAAACAAGTAGATTTACTCTTCAGTTCTGACACATTACATCAGCGACAGTTGGTACCTCTTTATGAAATAAAAAATGTTTCCTGCAACTTTAGGTTTTACTTGTAAACAGTTAAAGCACACATTTTGTAAAGATGATTTAACCATTCCTGGTCACACAATGAGGAGTTTCTATTTCATCCAGGGAGAAGCAAACACACATACTCCACACATACACACACGCACACATGTGCACACACACACACACACACACACACAGTCCCGCTCACCCGCCAAAGGCCCGCGTGTCACTAAGCGCTAACTACAGCAGCACTTGTGTCTCGAGCAGTGCACGAGGTTGCAATAGGAATTGTAAAACAAGAAAGATAAAACAGCCAACTTCAGTTAAAAATTCCAAAAAGCTCAGATTCTGAAACGCCTCTCAGACGCTTCACACTCAGCCCGAAGTGTCAGTTCACTGGGCTCTCCAGGCGGCACACCCCACCTTCGATTGCCACGGACTGTCCTGCCACCGCACCGGGAGGGAGTCTTGAAATGTGAGTCTGCAGAGACAGAGACAGGAGAGCATCAGGGGGGGTCAGCAGTGTCCTACACCCCAACCCGTGTCCAAAAAAGGTAGAGGAAACATCAGAGCATTAGGCCTTCACTTTGCTTCTGAGCAGCCACAGACTGTACCGCTGGTAAACTTTAGTTACTGAAAGACCGTTTGTTCAAATCGCTGAGGAAATATGTACGGAGCATCTGCTACATGCCAAGCACAGCACTAGCAACTGAGATAGAGAGGTGACCAAGTTAGTCAAGACCCCTGACACAGAATGTATAGTTCAGTCATATTCACAAGAGTAGCAGTTTTAATGCCAGCTCTATTGAGTATAGTTGTTATGTGAAAACTAGTAATTTGTATATGTTTTGTCCTCTAAACAGAGTAACTAAGGATACTTAATTCATGTTTATACCCCAAATTTATTCCTTAAAGAATTTCAGTAGCTTACAAAAACTCAGGTAATTCAATAGACTAAAATAGGAGAGGAAATGAGAAGAAAAACAAGAGCTTACAAAATAAGGGAAAGACGGAAGTGAGGCTAACAAAGAAATCTAAGCTGAGAAGTTTGGTACCCGTGCCAGAGGCAAGCCTGCTGCCCTGTCTCTCAGTTTCCTAGCAACAGAGATCAGGTTGGTGGTTCATGTAGCATAAAGCTCACAGCAAACTCATTGCTTGGATGAGAACAATTGTTCCTGGCACTGAGACCAAGGAGTCATTTCTCCTATAGGTCTTTGTAAAGAGGGCCCTGTGTTTAGGGACTGAGTGAAGACATCAGCTGTACAACGGGGAGTTTTGTAGGGCTGAGTGTTACAACATCACTCAGAGGAGGCTGGGGCTGGAGGCTCTGGTAGAAGACAGTAAGCACTTCACTCTGTTTCATGAGGGGTCAGGATGGGGTCAGTCAAGAATTCCTCATTTTGGTGATCTGGCTTAATCCAAGGATAGATAAATGCCTGGAATTTCTAAGAAGAAAGAGGGGCTGCATAAACTTCAGGCAATCCTCTCTACTTGTTTCTCTAAACGAGCTTTTCCTAAGTACTGAAACCTTGGGGAGTCTCATCAGAAGACAAGTAACCTTGGTCTGAAAAAGTGTGAGCCAAGATGTGTTTGAAGCTTCCTGTGGCGGCTCAGTGGGGCATCAAATCATATAAACAGTGGGAGCTGTTGAAGATAATGTTTTATATGAACTTATCTCCAGAGTTCTTTTTGAGAGAAGTGAGTTTAAATTTCTCTTTAGCCTAAAAACAGACCACTTTCTACAACAAACCAGGATGTCGGCATAAAAAATGCAATAAACTATTTTACATTGAGCAAATGGGTAAGGACTAGGTAGACTCTAGAGTATCCCACAAGCAGAAGAACTTAATAAGGTACCTTTACCATATTTAAATAGCAATGCACTTTTATAGGAATTTGGAACAATGGGAAATAACACATTAAAATGATACATGAGAAAGCAGCAGACATCCATTTTGGGTCATCTCCCTCCACTCCTTGCTGGACGCCATGTCTCTAACACCCTTCTCTGGCTCTTTCTCAAGGGAAGCCTTGACCAGGCACCCAACTCAACTTAGAAGCTCTTCTAGCTCCTATAGCACCCATATGAGCCCTTCTCATCCAGTCTTGGTTTTGAGTTTTCAGGTTTCTGTAATTGAAAGTCAGTTATGGGCAGAAGCTTGTGTTAACATACATCTCAGTTTCCCTGTACCTGACCATGTGTTTCACATAGAAGCACACCACTCTGGAAATGCTGAGTGGGTAAATGAGTGAAACAGACCATTCTAAGGCTATGTTTATATAAACATGCAGAATCTTAAGGCTCTCTGCTCCTCCCGTTCAAGAGACAGCCACATCTTTTCGTGCAGTGCTAGCCACATCCCTGGTGAAGGTGAAGGTGAAGGCCACAGTAAAAGGATTTGGCGCTGGTCACTAGGGCAGCTTTTAACTCCAGTAAAGTAGATGTTCTCGCCAACAATGACTTCTCCCTTGACCTCAACTACATAGTCTACATGTTCCAGTATGGTTCCACCCATGGCATATCCCACGGCACCATGAAGGCTGAGAATGGGAAGCTTGTCATCAATGGAAATCCCATCACCATCTTTCAGGAGTGAGATCCCACCAAAATCAAATGGGGCAATGCTGATGCTCAGTACATTGTGGAGTCCACCAGTACCTTCACGACCATGGAGAAGGCTGGGACTCACTTGCAGCAGGGAGCCAAAAGGGTCATCATCTCTGCCCCCTCTGCTGAGACCCCCATGTTCATATAGGCATGAACCATGAGAAGTATGACAACAGTCTCAAGATCGTCAGCAGTGCCTCCTGTACCACCAACTGCTTAGCACCCCTGGCCAAAGCTATCTATGGCAACTTAGGCATCATGGAAGGATTCATGACCACAGTCCACGCCATCACTGCCACCCAGAAGACTGTGGATGGCCCCAAGGGAAACTGTGGCATGATGGCTGTGGGGTTCTCCAGAACATCATCCCTGCATCTACTGGCACTGCTAAGGCTGTGGGCAAGGTCATCCCCGAGATGAACAGGAAGCTCACTGACATGGTTTTCCATGTCCCCGTCGCCAATGTGTCAGTTGTGGACCTGACCTACCATCTGGAGAAACCTGCCAAATATGAGGATATCAAGAAGGTGGTGAAGCAGGCGTCAGAGGGCCCCTCAAAGGCATCCTGGGCTACACTGAGCACCAGATTGTCTCCTTCAACTTTAACAGTGACACCCACTCTTCCATCTTCCATGCTGGGGCTGGCAATGCCCTCAACAACCACTCTGTCAGGCTCATTTCCTGGTGTGACAATGAATTTGGCTACCGCAATACGGTGGTGGACCTCATGGCCCACATGGCCTCCAAGGAGTAAGATCCCTGGACCACCAGCCCCAGTGACATCATGAAAGGAAGAGACCCTCAGCTGCTGGGAGTCCCTGTCCACACTCAGTCCCCTACCACGCTGAGAATCTCCCCTCCACACAATGTCCACACAGACACCCTGAAGAGGGAGGGTTCTAGGGAGCCTCACCCTGTTGTATGCCATGAATAAAGTCCCCTGTGCTCAGGCAAAAAAAAAAAAAAAAGGAAAACATTTTAAGTGTTTTAACTGATATGACCAATCTGTTTGGTTGAAAAGTCAGTCACACTAGTTTGCCATAGTAAAGATTAAGCTTAGATTTTTTTGGCCGGGCGCGGGTGGTTCACGCCTGTAATCCAAGCACTTTGGGAGGCTGAGGTGGGCGGATCCTCTGAGGTCAGGAGTTCGAGAGCAGCCTGGCCAACAGGGCAAAACCCCATCTCTACTAAAAACTAAAAAAACAAAAAAATTAGCTGGGTATGGTGGCGCATGCCTGTAAATCTCAGCTACTCGGGAGGCTGAGGCAAGAGAATCACTTGACCCCAGGAGGCAGAGGTTGCAGTGAGCCAAGATTGTGCCGCTGCACTCCAGCACTCCCTCTTAAAAAAAAAAAAAAAAAAAGGCCAGGTATAGTAGCTCACGACTGCAATCTCAGCACTTTGGGAGGCCAAGGCAGGAGGATCACAAGGTCAGGAGTTTGAGATCATCCTGGCTAACACAGTGAAACCCTGTCTCTACTAAAAATACCAAAAAAAATTAGCCAGACGTGGTGGTGGGCACCTGTAGTCCCAGCTACTTGGGAGGCTGAGGCTGGAGAATGGCGTGAACCCGGGAGGTGGAGCTTGCAGTGAGCCCAGCTTGCATGCCACTGCACTCCAGCCTGGGCGACAGAGCAAGACTCCGTCTCAAAACAAAACAAAACAAACTTAGATTTTTTTAAAGTACTGACTAACTAAAATTTTCCACCTTCCAAGTGATGGTGCTGTTAGAATAGAGATGGAGCTCTAGATTCTCAGATGCACACAGCTCCACACCAATGGGATCCACTGGCCGTGTAGTTATAATTTGCTGCTTTGTTGCTAATTCCCAGAGAAGCACAGACAGATTCTTGAGGTTAACACCCCTTGAAAAACTATCAACTTATAAATTAAACTGACTGTTCAAAGCCAACATTATTAGGGCTATATCTTTTTATAAAATCAAATACACTGGATTAAAAAATTTTAGCTCAAAGATTCTAAAATAAGAAAATTAAAAGTAATATAGAAAGTATATCATTACCTGATAACCTAATCACAATCTAAGTAATAGCTGAAATTTCCTATCATTCATACTCAATGTTAAGATCTTTTAAGACCACCTTAGAAACTGCTCTTGTATGGTTTCTAAGAAAACTGCACATGACTTAATTTAAAAAGTCCGCTTCCAGATAGAGACCAGTGGAGGCATGAGCAACTTAAACAGTAGTCAAATGGGGGTCCTGAGTCTTGTACGTTTGTTGTGTTATGCTGCATTAATAACATTCTGACAAATCCCACACCAGGAGGAACGTGAAAAACACTAGGGTAAACTTGTTTGCATGGGCATTTCCTTCCTGGAAAAACTCGAGCCTCCTGAGACACAAGTGTGTTCAGCTCAATTGGATGTTACCACGTACTTCTGAAGAAACAGAGATCCTTTTTTTCTGCCACTTTCCCTTCTCCCGTTAATTCTTTCTTACTGTTCAGATTGCTGAGTAATAGCAAACATCTAATTTTTCATTCACTAACAATGTCACATGAACTTTAATAGAATCCGGAATATTGTGTATAGTTTATAGAATAAAAATCCATTTAACAACAAGTTAAGCTTCTCTTCTGTATTCAACACTACGTGGGCAATGTAAATATGGTACTGTGAGATTGTACTGTGAGCTGGGTATTACCTTATATCCTTGCACTGTGAATTCTTGCCTGACATGATAATAGTCACCCTCAGCTTTTTTTTTTTTTTTTTTCTTGAGACGGAATCTTGCTCTGTCACCTAGGCTGGAGTGCAGTGGCGCGATCTCGGCTCCCTGCAACCTCCGCCTGCCAGGTTCAAGAGATTCTCCTGCCTCAGTCTCCTGAGTAGCTGGGACTACAGGCGCTTG